AGTAGTTCAGTAGTTCCTATTTATAGCATAATCATTAGGTATAATGTACATCAGTGACTGAATCATTTATTAATATGTAATTACCTGATGATTGGTCCTAGTAGCAGCTGCATGTTGTTGACGAACTACCAGCAGTTACTATAAAACTAACAATTATTATAATATATCCAGTGTCTCATTGAAGATAATGATAACATTACTAGTGACAGTAGTGGGAGGAGTCAAACAGTTTGGGAACGACAAACAACTATTAAAAACAATTATTATTAAATACTATTATCACTATTATTAGTACAATGTGATACTATTAACAGATACACTCCTTATAACAGACACCTCCTCCTCTACTCCAGCAGACACTATTGACTAGTGACTGTATGTAATATACAGTATATGAACATTAGCCCATTAGTATCAGCTAATGATTGATCAGTTAATGTGTGTCTCATTATAATGTGGAGGAGGTGACATTATGTTAAACATTAATTGATTTAGTGAGGACTAAAACTAATGTTGTCTTTAACATTAAAACACAACTTACATGTGCTTAGTTGTGTTTTAGGATAAAACACAACTAAGTAAGTCAAAAAATGAAATAAAAATTGGGGGTTTGGAACTAATTTTTAGCTTGTTTTTTAATGTTCATAAATCAAAAATTATTTGTCGGAATCAGCTCAAACTTTCTACACAGCATAAAGACATCAATATGTATCAGAAAACATGATAAAAATTGGGGGTGATTTCGGGGCCATTTTTTGGAAAAAACCATGGGCTATATAGCCTTGGGTAAGTTTTAAAAATCGGCCTGTTTTAAAAAATGGTCATAACTCAAAAATTTCTTATCAGAATCACCTCAAACTTTCTACACAGCATTAGGACATCAATATGTATCAGAAAACGTAATAAAAATTGGGTGTCATTTTTTAGTCATTTTTTGGAAGAAACCATGGGCTATAGCCTTGGGTATTTTTCAGATTTTTGGCATTTTCTTAAAATGGCCATAACTCGAAAAATTGAAGTCGGAATTAGCTCAAACTTGCTACACAACATAAGGGCATCAATATGTATCAGAAAACGTAATAAAAATTGGGGATGATTTTGGAGCCATTTTCTGAAAAAACCCATGGGCTATAGCCTTGGGTAATTTTCAAAAATTGACCCATTTTTAAAATGGTCATAACTCAAAAATTTCTTATCGGAATCGCCTCAAACTTTCTACACAGCATTAGGACATCAATATGTATCAAAAAACGTAATAAAAATTGGGGATCATTTTTTTAGTCATTTTTTGGTGCCAGTCACCTACAACACAATATTAATTAATACAAAACTCCGCCCATCAACCATTATTAGCCACACCCCTCACCTTCCCAAATAATGTATTCTTATTATTAAGTTCATCAGTTCTTCCCAGCGTTATAAAGAACTGTGAGGTATTATCATTCTTTCCTCCATTGGCCATTCCCACTAGACCACATCTATTGAACTTGAGTCTCTG